CACCTCCCTGGAGGAAAGCTGGGATGGTGCAGACACAGGAGACCCCCCTCGCTTTTGGGACACGAATACCAACAACTTTGTCCCGCCTGTCAAAGCCCAGACGGAAGGGCCAAGGAAGAGGTTGTGCTCCGGGTTCTCCACGGCTTTATTTCACCGCGGTGCTGGTCAGTCCAGCTCAGGCCGCGTACAGGAGCTTCTGGGGAAATTAAAAGAAAATAAGTGGCCAGCCAGTAACTTTTCGCTTGTTTGGTTGTTGCTCCTTTTCCTGTGAACCAGGATGAAGGGAAGCGATTCCGGCCACCACGTGGGAAATGCGTGGTAGCACAGGGCTTGATGGCTGGAGTGCCCTGCAGTGCCTTCACCTCCCCGTCCTCACAGCCCTCCTCAAGGTGAGCTTCACCTTGCTACAGCCCAGGTATTTAATTTTTTTTAGGTTTCTCAGGGCCGTCAAAGCAGAGTTTGCTGGTGTTGGGTTTTGCATTTTTGCATATTTGTTTTCCTCCTGCTCCTCAGGCCACAATCAGCCTTCTTATGTAATGACTTGTGTTATATAAACTCCATTCTTCAAGGAACAGTCATTAACCTACTACTGGGTATTGAAAATACCAAAATACTGTCACACAATTAAAACCACTAAATGGTGTCCTCAAATTAGAGCACAGATTGCATTGCAGATGATTTTTTTGATTTTTTTTTTTTTTTTACTTTTAATTTAAACCACACACATGAAACGTTTGACAAGCCAGGCACTTCATGCCTAGGAAGGCATCTCTTGCCACACTCTGCCCAACTCCTGAGAGTTCTCTCCTCAACAACCCTCTGCCCTCAGCTACTTCCACTTCTTATCGAGCTCAGAAGTGGATTCTACCATTGATTTGCAGAGCTCAGAAGGACTAATGTGAAGAGAATGCAGCTGGTTACTCTGCTGGTTGCAGAAAAAAGAAGCATTTTTGAAGTAACAGCCAAATAAAATCACAGGAGAGAGCAGAGAACTTGAAGACAAGTCCCAAGGAATTGCGTGGAAGTGAAGTTTTGCCTGGCTACCAGTCCATGTCCCTCATCTCTGAGCCATCCCCACGAATCAGGCATTTTAAAGCCACCTCTCCTGGCCTTAGGGGAGCTGAGAGAATATCCCAGATATTTTTCCCACTTCCTTTAAACCAAAGTTTCTCTTGAAATCTTTTGACACAGAAAATAGCTTTGACCCTGTGTTTAGCCACAGTTCTATACCTATACATGTATACTTCGTGTACCTCAAACCAGACTAGGACACCATAAAATTCCTGTACAAACTGAGCTTTTAAAATCAGAGGATTTCAACGCAAATGAAGCGTGTGGAGACAAAGTAACTACATAAATGCATAAATTTTTCAAGTTAAATGAGAAGTAACGCGTCAGAGTATGAACAGCTTTAGCTGAAGAACAAGTTATGCTCATAGAAAGCTGAAATACTGACTGTGGATCATTCAGAATACTGACTTCTCCCTCCAGATCATCCATCCATCCTTCTGCACACTGGTAAATAAACAAGTGACAAATGACCAGCTCCCAGTGCTGCTTTGCCTTATGAACAGAATGTTTAGGATGGAAAGAACTGTTCTGCAACATCCTGTAGACTCCATTATGGTTTTAGGCTTCTTAGTTAAGAGATGCAGTGAATTTCTAATTATTCGATACTTAGCACTACAGCAGCCAGAATTCTCTGCCAGCCACACACACGAGAAGTGCAACCTTTCTGTAATAAAGAGGACTCTGCTGTGAATCTCCATATACACACAAAACTTGGGTTAAAACATCCTGTGTGGGTTTTTCCTGCCTTCCTGTGAAATAACAACAAAGAGCTCTGTTTAGGACGAATTCAGTTGAAAGCAAAAACATTTTTCAAGCACTCCCCAGATTTCACCTTGCCAGGAGCAGAACTCAGCGCTGGTACCGCATGGGGAAGGAAAACTCTGCTCAAAATGCTCAGCACTGTGCCTGCTTGGAATGCCTTTTTAAAGAGAGCAACCAAAGCAGTTCAGTCCTCACAGAACCATCTCCTTCCCTTGGCTGTAAATATCCCCATGGTAACAGAGATGGTATCAGACAGACAAACGAGGAGGAGCAGAGGAGGCCAAGGAAATCCATCAAACACAGAGTCTCCAGGAACAAAATGGGACAGGACAAGCCAATTGGAAAACACACACCCTGCAAACCTTATCACAGCTGCTGCTCCAGCTCCCCAGCCCCTATTTGTTCCGATCTAGTCGTTGTCCAAGACATTTTTAAGTATTTTTAACAGACAGGCAGAACAGCACAGGTAATTCAGGGATATTAAACACTCCCAGGACCCGAGGATGATGCACTGACCCACTTGGACACTGTCCAGGACACGGATTGAGCTGGCAGAGGTCTAAGTTTTACCACAAAGCAGTTGAAACCACAGCCAACCCCCAAGATCCCAGGAGCAGTGAGGTGTAAGGTTTCTTTGGGAGCCTGACTGAGACTTGGGGATTTGCAGCTGCCAAGAAGTTATTTTCCAGCAGGGACTTGCAGTTCTCAGGTGTGGAACCCGAAATGCTGCTCTTTAATACCTGTGTGTTCTCTGACAGAGGAGGTTAAGCAGCATCACCTCATGATTTACTGCCACACAGACAAAGCTGTCTGCACAGAGGGGTGACGCTGGCCTGAGCTGAAAGCACTTGCACCAAACCCCTGCCTGTGCAAAACAGTTAACAAGGAAAATGAGGTAATTCCTGCAAGCTGCCAGAGGTCAGTGATGGAATGGGAGAAGGCAGGAGCACAAACCCCAGCCAGGAGCACAAACCCCACTTGATGCTGCTTCACTCCCAGCATCATGTTTATTGTTCACAGGTTCCTTTAAACAAAACAACTTTTAAGATCCTCTCTTGCCTGTAAGCAACAAGGCTCTACCAGTCACATTCTGAATGTGCAATAATTTGGTCTCGCTTTTATCAGTTTGAGCAGACTTTTGCTCTGTTTGTGCACACGTACCCACTTTCTGGATTTTGAGCCATAACAACCACATTTACTGTTGCTGTAAGGGAGGAAAATGCTTCCATTCAAAACTATTTTTATTTAAAAAAAACACCCAAATTTAAATTATTTCTGTTGACAGTGGAGTTTGCCATTTCTCCCCATCTTCCTTATTCATTGGGCCCTGACTGCTACAGTTACAGCCTCTCAGTTCTATTCATCTCACACAGATACTTTGTGTTTTAACTCAAAAACAAGACACTTCCTCAGCTGCTACTTTGAAAACAGACAAACTTAGAGGTTTTTCATTTTTATTGGATGCTTCCAACTTTATAGCTAATAATATACAGATACTCAGTTATTTAATTGTTCCATTCACATCCTCAGCCATTCTGTCACGTTAAATTTAAAAAAAAAAAAAAAAA